CTTAATTTGATTTGATCATTTTTATCTCATTATCTAATATACTCATGAACTCATATTGTTTAGGAGTCGAAGTTAATAGTAATTTATATAAATTTTTCTCTCTCAACTCATTGAGGTGTTTTTTAAGGACAAAACCATGACGGATGAGAAATTCAAAACAAATAATATATTAGACATAAGAATTGAGCATAATGATATTATCATAGTGGACATGAGTTTATGACATTTTTTTCTTAAATGGAACATTAACACTCATCGTGGAGTTGGGAATAGAGTTTGACTCTACTCATACCTCCTAGTAATCAACTAGAAAATTTATGTTATCATACCTCATGTGCCTCATGTGGGAACCAAGTGACAAATAATACTTTTGTATCTTAACGAAGAGAGAAAATAATTGAGATTAGTGATGAATCTATATATCTTTAGGATGATTTTTTTTAGATAATATATATTTTATATTTTTTAAAATATTTTTTTGTAAAAATAATTTTTTTTACTATTTGTAATAAATATTTTTTATCTATTTGTTAAATAAATTATTGTTTTAAAATTATTTATTTCAAAAATACTTATTTTAAGTTTAAACGAATATAAATTTGGTTGTGAGATGATGGAAGGTTACCTAAAATAATTTATTTTAAAAATAAACAATTTTTTATTAATTGTAATAAATATTTTTTATCTATTTGTTAAATAAATTATTATTTTAAAATTAATTTATTTCAAAAATACTTATTTTAAGTTTAAACGAATATAAATTTGGTTGTAAGATGATGGAAGGTTATTTAGGGTCATTTATATATATATATATATATATATATATATATATATATATATATATATATATATATATATATAAAATAAGTATTTATAATATTTTTTTAAATTAGTCAAGTTCATAATTATAGAGTTGGTAATGGGGGCACCCCCTACATTGTATAGAAGGCACTTATCATAACAAGCATGAGGGTGTGTATCGATATGATAAGTCATATGAAATTTTTTATTTGATAGTCTTATACGATAACTGATATGATAAGCCATTAAACTAAAAGTGTTTGACCTGTTAACCATGCATTATTAGCTCTTCAACAACCCTACACGTGGAAAGGGTGGTAATTTAATTTATACATTTATTAATTATTCAATTTTTATATAAAAGTCAAACCAATCATTCATATATTGTCTTAACTTTTAAATTTGGTTTTTTATAAAAAAAACATATATTTTTCTTCAATAAGCTATAAAGAAATTATTTTTTGTTGATATATTTATATAAATTAATCCAACATTTATTAAAATAAAACTTAATGAATTGAACGTTGAAAGTAGCCTTTTAAATTGGAATCGAATAGCCATGCATTTCAAAAAAGAAGTTTGAAAGTTGCCACTAAATTGTCAATCACGCTTGGGTCATAAGCGTGCATGCTGCACGGGAATACTTCACAAGTCAACTAATTCAAAAAATAAATAAATTAATAAGAATTTTCCAAAATTAAAATTAGTTTCTTTTTGTTAGAAAATTCTTATAAAATTGTGTATTAAAAACTATTTAAAATTTATATTATTTTACTTTTATCTTTAAATTACTTATAAAAAATAGAGTTGAACAAATCTTACTTATTTGATAATGTCTAATAATCAAGATAATTTATCAAAATTATTATCTATTAAAATTCTAAAATGATGAATATTTCAAAAATGTGATCAAGATATTATTGTTTATTATTATATATAAAAAATTATAATGAATAAAGAGATGTTTATAAGTTGATTTGCTTATTTGTTGTTTTTTTCTTGTTTGAAGAATAATGAGAAACTAAGAATAATGGAGTGCCGTATGGAATATATTAAAGAAAAGTAAAAGTATGGACGGTGATTTTGATACAAAAGTCTTTGATTGAAAATGACATTATTTTTTTTTTTTTATTAAGCTCTAAATCACGTATAAAATATTAATTATTGTAATGTTGTTATTGCTAGCAAACATTTGTTGGAATCTCGAAGGTATCTACCAAACATCTTGGAAACAAAATTGGGTATGTAAAATTAATAGACTTCCAATGTTTATAAATTTAATTAACTTAATTCATATATTACTTTGTTGAATTGAAATTTTTATACAGCAAAAACAATTACAATTATCATAGATATTGATGTATAGATTAAAGTATCTTTGAATCAATAAAACAAATATACAAATGAAACTTTGGGTTGTGTTGCTGATATCACTATGCATTAAAAAATTAATCATTATTTATTTGACCTCACATGCTGAGCTCTTAATGCAAACTCTCAACTTGCTCTTTAAATATTATCACTGACATCTTAATTAGTATTTTATGTATTTTTTTCACCAATTACTAAAATTAATCTACATCAGTTTAAAGATTTTGGTTATCATCAAATAACACTATCAAATATCTAAAAATATCATAAATTTATTTTTATATAGAATTAAAATGAAGACACAATCAGTATATAGTATTTGAATTTTAATATATATAGTTGGATATAAAATCTGAAGTAAATTTGGATTTTTTTTAAGTCAAGTAAGATGTTTATACACTCTCAATTACACATATTTATCACAGAATAATGACGAGCGAATTCAAATATATAAAATTAAAGATAAAATAAAATTTTTATAAATATTTAATAATAATTTAATAAAATTAAAGGATCCACGTGTACACTATAACAAAAAGAACTATTCATTTAAACCGCATTAATTACCGTTAATTTCGTTGTTAATATTTATTACCATTTTTATCAAAATTATATTGTTTGTAAAATAATATTAATTACTTATTTAAATAAAATAAATACATTAGATTGAAGTAACATTTCTATGTTACTTTAAGCGAAAAATAAATTATATTAAGTTAAAAACAAAAGAGACTCATTAAAATATAGGCACTAATGACAATTTATTGTGTTGTTAATATTGTATTATCATTTATAATAGAATTATAATATTTTTAAAAATAATATTAATTATTTATTTGAATATGATAAATGTATTGCAATAAAATATCATTTCTATCCTTTTTTGAGAGGAATAGTAAATTTTGAACCAATCCTTCTTTTATTTCTATAAATAATTAAAATATGCAAATTTAAAATTTATTATTAAACGAATTGTGTAATTAGATCACATGAATTTCCGATTTTTGTGACTTTAATATTTCATTACTATATATACCAAAACATATTACTTTTTGTTTAAATTATATTTATTATTTATTAAACATCATTAAAATATCATATGCTTTCTCTTTGAATATATAGGTATTTTGAGTAGAAAATAATTTTTTTTCTCTTTATTTTGTTTTTTCTCCCCCAAATGTCTATTAGAAAGTTTTTATTATTTTTACCAAACCACGCTATTATAGTTTTATTTTTGTAATTATATTGATAAAGCAGAGTTATTTTTCAAAAGTGAATTACAAATAATCAAATCCGAAAAAAAGTGTTTATTTTTATTTCCATAAATAGCTATGAGTTACAGTTCTTATTTATCCCAGATTTAAGGCCTTTTTTTATATATATAAATGTTTTAGTTTTCTTTTAAAAATATCAATGATACATTAAAATAATATTACTTGCAAGTAAACTCTCCCAAAGTCAACTTTGAGTTTTTGAAACTGATCTTCATCATTAAACAATTAATGACAATTTAAAACCATCACAAAAGTAATAACGAATTGTTAAAATTTAGTTTCACAGAACTAAAATAAACTTTCCCAAAACCTACCTACGCTTAGTAGCATTTTTTTTTAATGTATAATATGGATGAATTTTTCTGTGCTTATTATTTAAAAAAAAAGTGTTCTTTATTAAGTAAATTTATTGTTAACATGAGTGACTTTGTTTGTACTTTTTTTTTAAATGTTTTCTAATGAAATAAACAGATTTTTGCTTTTGCTTATTCTGAAAATAATATTTTTCTATTTTTTAATAAACAAATCATAGATCAGTTAAACTTAAAATGAGTATTTTTTTTAAATAGTAACTTATTTTAAAATTTACTTATTAAAAAAAAACAGAAAACTTTATGTTTGAAATAAGTACAAATACATAAAAAAAAACTGAAATTTACTTGTTTTCTGAAAAAAAAAAAGTTTTTAAATAAACACAAACAAACCTACCCATATTTTAAATAAATAATTATTCTAAGAATTACTTATTTCAGAAACACTTATTTTTTACTTAAAAAAACTAACCCTATTTCACTAGTTTTAAAAGTAAAATATACTAGTAAAAGACCATTTTTTCAATGAATTGGGCACTTACATGGAACCTTAGGCTAGGCCTAGTACCGGGTGAACCTTGATGTTTATATTTGTGAGAGCCTAACTGTGAAAAAAACTACCAACTAACTACCCTAAAAGGAGAATCTTTGAAAATTTGAAGGCATATCCTTTTTTTCCATCTCATGGAAATTAGCGTTTGCTGCAAAACCGCGCACTGATAAAGTCACTGTCGGGTGGTAAACAAGTTGGAGAAGGTTTTGTAATAGGACTTTACTTCTAGTCTTCCAAAGTTAGTGATAGAGAGAGAAAAAAAAAGTTTTTTCACGATCTTTTTTTATTGGACATGTGTCTTCTTTCTCTATATAAAGACACTCTCTGCACCTCTTGGATCTGTGATTCTCTCACTTCTTTCTCATTGGTTTTTCTCTGGTTGACATCATCGTCATCTTCTTCCTCTTATCCAATTGGCCCTCAACACTGGTACTACGGTAGATCCTAATGATTGTTTGATGTATCATGGTTGTGTAAAAAAACAGTTACATATGTTTTCCTTTTAATAGTATATGCTGTGTTTGTTGGCACTTGTTTTGCCTTCTCTACTTTATTACAAAGTTTTCATTGGCAATGTCTCCACTGGAGATGTTGGTTTGATTTTCCTATGTTCAAGTTTTGTTTTGTCTTTTGGATCTTTTGGACTGACCCTTTTGATGTTGGCAGGTGAGGGCAGTTTGAAAAGTTGCAATGGCGAATAGGAACTTAGAAAAGATGGCATCCATTGATGCTCAGCTTCGGCTTTTGGTTCCAGCCAAAGTGAGTGAGGATGACAAACTGGTTGAGTATGATGCTTTGCTCTTGGATCGGTTCCTTGATATTCTTCAGGACTTACATGGGGAGGATCTGAAGGAAACGGTGAGTTTTCAGTTATCTCTAAGTCTCTGGATTTGGTTGCCACCCACCCTTTAGTACCTTGCATCTCAATTTTGTTGTGGAAAAGCATGGAACTTTACATGTATTAAACGATTTTGGGTACTGGGTTGAGTCTATTAATTTGGGAAGTGTTAAGGAAACAGAACACTTGGTTTGCTCTTGTACGTGGAAGTCGTGTCTTTTGTGTAATGGAATCTTGATGGGTTATATTTTCTTTGGTTATTCTAATGTTGACTTTTAATTTTTGATTTAAACGCAAATTGCTCCCTTCAAATTTGGCAGTTGACTATTTCGTGAATCATACACAAGTGTCAAGTATTTAAATTGATAAAACTAAAACTGGAGTAACAAGATCAAGGGTTAATTTCAAATCCAATCTTTGTTTATTGGAAATATTTCGACTACATGTGTAGTTTACAAGGAGAACAAAAAATATACCTTGGAATGGCTCTTATGGCTTAATCTACCCCTTCAATAATTTTTATCGTTATAATATATTTCTTTTGTAAAGCTGATGTTTAAAAGAATAATCAGTGAGATTATGACACTTGACCATGTCAACTTTTTTTTCTTTTCACCGGAGAGAATCCGTTCCCCTGGGTGGTTGAAGATTCAGCAGTAGACAAAAGAAATGAGCGATAAGAAATCTGAATGGCCTAATCTTTTGGGCAGCTGATTCATTTTGTATATATACACACACAAATTTATACGGGCCTTTGCAATATTCTCTCTGAAAATACGAATTTGCAAACTGTTTTATGGTGATGCTTAATTTGTTCTTGCACAGGTTCAAGAGGTGTATGAGCTTTCTGCTGAGTACGAAGGAAAGCATGACCCAAATAAACTGGAAGAACTTGGAAATTTGATAACTAGTTTGGATGCTGGAGATTCCATTGTCGTTGCCAAGTCCTTTTCCCACATGCTTAACTTGGCCAACTTAGCTGAAGAGGTCCAAATCGCGCACCGGCGAAGGAACAAGTTGAAGAAAGGTGATTTTGCTGATGAGAATAGTGCCACAACTGAATCAGACATCGAAGAAACTCTCAAGAAACTTGTGGGGGATATGAAGAAGTCTCCTCAGGAGGTTTTTGATGCACTGAAAAACCAGACTGTTGATCTGGTTCTTACTGCTCATCCGACTCAATCAGTCCGAAGATCTTTGCTTCAAAAGCATGGAAGGTTTGTACCAATTTTTGTTTTCCATTTTGCTGCTTTATGAACATATTTACTGAAAAGTGAAGAATCTAAGTTTTCACGTGTTTCTTTGATTTACAGGATAAGGAATTGTTTAACTCAATTGTATGCCAAAGACATCACTCCTGATGATAAGCAGGAACTTGATGAGGCTCTACAGAGGGAGGTGAATATCAACATCTTTGTTTTGTTTTGCTAGTGCTTTTCTTGTGTTCAGAGTTGTTATTAGAAAAGCCATATATTAAATCTGGTATGAAAAAAAAAATGTGAACTTATATTATACAAAACCACCACAGATCTTTGTACAACTGTTATCAGTTTGTCCTGAATGCAGTTGAACTATTCCAAGATCTGTACAAGACTTCTCTTTGTATCACCTACACCTGTAAATGTAGAATTAGAAGTTTCACACAAATGAAAATTTGTATGCTACATGATCCATTCAAAAAGCACAGAATAATGGGAAATTTGTTCTTCTTATAATGATTAGAGGAGTTGCATGTCAGTGTTACTTTTTAAAAATGTGTATTTATTTGTACTTGCCTTCATGCAGATCCAAGCTGCATTCCGTACCGATGAAATCAGGAGGACCCCTCCAACCCCGCAAGACGAGATGAGAGCAGGGATGAGTTACTTCCATGAAACAATTTGGAAGGGTGTACCTAAGTTTCTTCGTCGTGTTGATACAGCTTTGAAGAATATAGGGATTAATGAACGTGTCCCTTATAATGCTCCTCTCATTCAATTCTCTTCTTGGATGGGTGGAGATCGTGATGGTATGGTTCTTATCATTGGCCAATAATATTTCTCAATGTAGAATGAAGAGAGCGTTAACAATGGCTATTAGGATAGTGATCAAGAAATTCAAAGCAAAGTTTTTGTCCTAAAAAAGCCTTTAACATACAATATAAATGTCAAAATTCAACTTAATATTAATTTACGGATGTCTGTCAAATCAAGCCAACCTATTAAAATGAACAATTACCGAGATAAACTATAAACTTCGATTTCATTTCAAATTCGAAGTGTCCAATATATATATATATATATATATATCTCATTAGTATTGTGTCTCCCTAGTAAATATCCGTACCCAACATCTTCATACTCTAAGACTCCAAGAATTGCCATTAAGTATTTAGGGACTTCTCCAAAACCCCTCCAATCCACATATGCATGCCTCAATTCTTTAATTACAGCTTTTATATCTGACACTGAGGTTAGCTGCATGATCATACTATCATTGGACCAACTAAAGACCAAAGTTGTTGTGCCTGTATTTCTCATTATTTATGATAAAAAGAAGTAATTGTTAATTCCTTAACCAATGGCCAGTAAAACCTGCATTTTCTAATTATCATTGAAATTGTACTATAAAATCCTATATGATTTCAAAACTAAATAGTTATTTGATGAAAAAAACCAAGGGGTTTGTGAAGCTTGAAATTTTGGATACTGCCAATTTGTCATCACAGACATCAACTGTTAGCTAGGATTTTTCTTTTAGTTTTCAAAACGAGTCACGATTCATTAAGCTTCATGAAGTTAAAGGCCATAACTCGTGTGTGCTTAACTATGTTCAATAATATGATGCAGGCAATCCAAGAGTAACTCCAGAAGTGACCAGAGATGTTTGCTTATTGGCTAGAATGATGGCTGCTACCTTGTACTATTCCCAGATAGAGGATCTTATGTTTGAAGTAATTAATAGTTGCACAAATCTTTCAATATGATAATTGATGTTGGTTTATCACTCTGGCACTGATTTTCCATGTTGTTTCTGTAGCTGTCGATGTGGCGGTGCAACGATGAGCTACAGGTCCGTGCAGATGAACTTAACAGGTCTTCCAAGAAAAATGCAGTTGCAAAACACTACATAGGTGTTTACTAAAAGCCTTCTTTAAACTCAGTGACTAAGTGTTGTAATTTTTGTGCATTTTATTTACATGGTTTACTTAATTCATGACACAGAATTTTGGAAAGTGATTCCTCCAAATGAACCATATCGTGTGTTACTGGGTGAAGTAAGGAATAGGCTTTACCAGACTCGGGAACGTTCTCGCCATCTGCTAGCTAACGGCTACTCTGACATTCCAGAGGAAGAAACCTTCACCAATGTTGAGGAGGTACACCATTACTGTTTACTAGTTAACATTTCTACAAATTAGTTGCTGGTAAAGAAGTAAAGGACAGGAAGAACAAGCGATGTTATGCTAACGCTTTGGCCCTATTATGTTCCTTCACAGTTTTTCATAATATCCAAGTCTTCTAAAATCTCATTCCAATACTCAGTCTAAGTAAATTCTGAGTTTTGCATAATTAAACTAACCATTTAAATGTTGCTGGCTTAGAATCTCTCTTTTAAATATATTCAAACCTTATATATTTTTTATCCTTTCTGTCATTTCTGTTATAAAAACAATATGTAGTTGATGATGTTTCATCTAACATTGAAGCTTAATGTAAGAATTTTTGTGATTTGACGGGAAGGATGAAAAACAGAAAATTTAAACATTTTAAGAATCATAAACAAACAATCATTACAAGGACTTCAACCAAAAACCGGTATATTTACATACACAAGAAAAGATGTTTAAACCAAAACTATTATGATGTATCATTTATCTTATATACTAATCTAGGTTAAAATGTTGTCTAGTTCTTGGAACCCCTTGAACTCTGTTACAGATCACTCTGTGCTTGTGGCGATCGCGCAATTGCTGATGGAAGTCTGCTAGATTTCTTGAGGCAAGTCTCAACTTTTGGACTCTCCCTTGTGAGGCTTGACATTAGGCAAGAATCTGACCGCCACACCGATGTCTTAGACGCCATCACCAAGCACTTGGAAATAGGTTCATACCAGGAATGGTCAGAGGAAAAACGGCAGCAATGGCTTTTATCCGAATTGAGTGGCAAACGACCCCTCTTTGGCCCTGATCTTCCCCAAACTGAAGAAATCAGAGACGTTTTGGATACATTCCACGTGATAGCAGAGCTTCCCCCCGACAACTTTGGCGCATACATCATCTCAATGGCAACTGCACCATCTGATGTGCTTGCTGTTGAGCTTCTGCAGCGTGAGTGCCATGTCAAATGCCCGTTGAGAGTTGTGCCATTGTTTGAGAAGCTGGCTGATCTAGAAGCAGCGCCAGCCGCACTGGCACGTTTGTTCTCCATTGACTGGTACATAAACAGGATCAATGGGAAGCAAGAAGTGATGATAGGGTATTCTGATTCAGGCAAGGATGCTGGAAGGTTTTCTGCAGCATGGCAGCTATATAAGGCTCAGGAGGAGCTTATAAAAGTGGCTAAAGAGTATGGTGTGAAGCTAACTATGTTCCATGGTCGAGGAGGGACTGTTGGAAGAGGAGGTGGTCCAACTCATCTTGCTATTCTGTCTCAGCCTCCCGATACAATCCATGGATCACTGCGTGTGACTGTGCAAGGTGAAGTTATTGAGCAATCTTTTGGAGAGCAGCATTTGTGCTTCAGAACACTTCAGAGGTTCACTGCAGCTACTCTAGAACATGGAATGCACCCTCCAATCTCGCCTAAACCAGAATGGAGGACTTTAATGGATGAGATGGCTGTCATTGCCACTGAGGAATACCGGTCCATTGTGTTCAAAGAGCCCCGGTTTGTTGAGTATTTCCGCCTGGTATGTTATTTTGATTTAAATATGCTTTTGTTTCTTGCAAATATAATGTGTAAAATGTTTTTGATGATTTTGATTCTCATAAGCACATCGGATAAATCATGTTTAGAAACGTTTTCCTAGACATGTCAGTGACGATTTCAAACTAATCATGTTTGATGTGTGAATTTAAAGTCATATCCTGTCATGTAATCCGAATGGATAGTAAAATGTTTGTGTTGATTTTGGTCCTCATAATTTAGACACATGTTGAGAAGCATGGTAGACATGTCATGTTCAGAAATGTGTCACATTACTTACTACTAGGAGTTATAACATTTGAATTTGACAATCACTATGAACCTTGTGGAATGCAGGCTACACCTGAGTTGGAGTATGGAAGGATGAACATAGGAAGTCGACCAGCAAAGAGGAGGCCAAGTGGAGGCATTGAGACCTTGCGTGCTATACCTTGGATCTTTGCCTGGACCCAGACAAGGTTCCATCTTCCAGTGTGGCTAGGCTTTGGGGCAGCATTCAAACATGTTATTGAGAAGGATGTGAGGAATATTCATGTGCTTCAGGAGATGTACAATCAATGGCCTTTCTTTAGGGTCACTATTGATTTAGTGGAAATGGTGTTTGCCAAAGGAGACCCCGGAATTGCTGCTCTGTACGACAGGCTCCTTGTTTCAGAGGATCTGTGGTCATTTGGGGAGCAGTTGAGGACCAAGTTTGAAGAAACCAAGGAACTCCTTCTTCAGGTAAACCTACTTTTACCATGTCATATTTTATGTTATCACAAACTACATTCACATCCCTGAACTTAGTTCAAATAAAATAACGCTTGAGACCCTCTCTTTTACCTTACAAAAACATCCTTCAATTAATAAGTTAGTAGAGGTTTGTGTTGATGGGAGGAATACTCATTATTATTTCGACATGAAACTTCAGTTCTAATGTAAAACAACACCAAAAATATCCAAGAATCAGATTCATGACTGGAATTTGTGCAGAGTTAGAAAGTATGCAATAGCTGTTCCTCCTTAAAAGTTTGAACCACATATCATATCATATGAACGAGAGACTATGACCAGTTATTATTACAGAAGCTAATCTTACATTTTGTGTATTGATAGGTGGCTGGCCACAAGGATCTTCTTGAAGGAGATCCACACTTGAAGCAAAGACTTCGCTTGCGTGATTCTTATATCACCACCCTGAACGTGTGCCAAGCTTACACATTGAAACGCATCCGTGATCCAAACTATAACGTGAAGCTGCGCCCTCACATCTCCAAAGACTATATAGAGATAAGTAAACCTGCTGATGAACTCATAACACTCAACCCAACAAGTGAGTATGCCCCTGGTTTGGAAGACACACTCATTCTCACCATGAAGGGTATTGCTGCTGGCCTTCAAAACACTGGTTAAACTTCAGTTTCCGTCTTCCTTTTTGTTCCTTTCCTTTTTCTGTTTCCTTATCATAAATAATGAGTTTTAGGTGCATGCACCAAAAGGGTGTTTTCCCCCCTTGTATCCATGTTTCCATTACGAGATATACTACAAAGAGATAGCTACTACACGATGAGACAATGCATGTATACAACTGAATGTGATGTTCCAATACGAAATTATGTTTTGATTACTAGTTGTTATAAACTGCCTTGTATCACTTAGTTCAAACAACTCTTTGGTACATTAACATTTTAGTATTTTACATAATCGGGTGCTTAAGATGCCCGAGTATACGATGCATTGAGAGTCATTACATTAGGTATATATTTCATCTATTTGAATAAATTTCTCCTTAATGGTTCTGACTAGTAATCAATTTAATTGTAAATTAATTTTAACCAAATCATGTATCAATTAATTTCAAATTTACGACTTTAAAATATTGTTCCATAATCATCATTATCATTATGATAAATCATAATAGATAGTTAGTTTTTTACTTTCTCCATCAAAATGATGGTTTATGTTATTGTAACTAAACAAATTTAGTGTTGCTAGAAACCATTGTAGCTATAAATATAACCAAAATTACGAAGAAAATAATGATAATATGGTAGTTCATTTTGAATATTTTATATTTTAAATTAATTCATATAATATTATATATATATATATATATATATATATATATATATATTAAACTTAAGCTAAATTTATCATATAAATATTGAAGATATGAATATTATTTGTCAATTAAATTAATGTCATTTATTTTTAGAAAGGTGCTATACATTTTCTTTCGCTTTTCTCAACTATGCTTAAACAAAAAGTTTTCCGTGTCACTAAACATTTATTCACAACTAATTTTTATCTTTTATTATTTCATGAAATGTATCATCTAATCGAATAAAAAAAATTTAAAAAAATTTAAGATTAAATTAGATTGAGTTTTTATTCTTTTATTTGATCTAATCCTATTTAAGTTCTTGATGGGATTGGATTGAATTAAATTAAATGGATAATGGATTGTATATATATATATATATATATATATATATATATATATATATATATATATATATATATATATATATAAAAACCAAAACAAACCTAATTTATGTAATCCAGCTAAACTTTCCGCCTCATATTAAAATATATTTATTATTTAATAAAGAGATAAAAAAGAGATTTAAATATTTATTTATTTTTCTGTCTTATAATTCGTTTTTTTATAATTTAATAATTAAAGTAAATTACTATTTTATATTATTAAATTACTAAAAAACAATAATAAAGTAACTATGTCATTATCTTCTTATATAATAATAATAACTTAATTTTTTTTTTATAAGTACGTAATTTTAGATCTTATAAAAAATTTAAAAAGTACTTGGTGGAATATGTTACCATGTTGTCTTGTCTTTATATAATTGGAAATTTTATTAAAGTAGATTATTTTGAATATAAATTTAACTTGAAATAATAAAATAACTTTGGTCAAGTTTATTTGATTAATAATAAATCAACATTAATAGTTAGATTTTTTTTTAATATTAACTTAGTCTCTAAATTTTCCTCTCACTCTTGATTTAATCTCTAAAATTAACAAAATTTTAAAGTTTTATCTTTATACTAATTATTAATTTTGTAATAACTCGTGCAAAACTGCTGTGTCCATAATAAAAAAAATATTATTAAAATGTTAAAGATAAAATTATAATTTTAAATAATATATATATATAATAAATATATTTAAATAATAATAAAAATTCTAGATCATTTATCTCGTATCATATGATTTAAATAATTATTAATTTATTTTATTATTAATTAATTTTATGTTAAAACATTAATAAGTTTTTTTGTTGTGTCTGTGAAGAATTATTTCACGTTAGCTATTTCATGTCATAATTTAAATACGATTAGACTATTCTGAAAAACATTTATTAAATTTTTATTTATCAATTAATTAAATTGTTAAAAATACAATAACCTTAATTATAAACATAAATAAAAATTATCAATATTTATAATATTTTATTATTAGTTGGTTGAAAAATAATCACATTTTATATTAAAAATATTAATTTAGCATTTTTATTATTAGTTGGACAATCAAATTAAAAAATGATAAGATTAAAAATAATTAAATCTTCTTTTATTGTTAATTTTTTTTCATGTTAATTAATTAAGGGTTGTATTGAAAATATAGTTACAATCTTCTCCGCGTTCTTCATACATCTGTGTCAGCAGCAGAATCTACCCTCTTCTCTCTAGAAACCCTATTGCACACGTTGCGATTGAACTCCACAATGGCCAACAGCAATCTCCCTCGAAGAATCATCAAGGTTCGCATCTATTTGCTCGATGTTATCCCAATTTTAATTTCAGTTTCATTTTCTCTAGTCGATTTGTTCGGTTGCTGATAAAACGAAAGAAACTGGAATTCCTATCATGGATTATCTGCTTCTTCCCTGGCCTGCGCTGTCGCGTGGGAATTCCCGAATTGCCCTTTTGCTTAAATTTAGTAGCGACGAGAATGAAAGTTTGAAAAACAAATAAAATTGAAACGTCTTAGGTGCTAAAAGTTGAGGATTCAACTATCCTTTTGCTTTTGATCTTCGTTGAAATTAACCGTGGTTCTGGATTTTTTAATTTATATTTTTTGAATTTTGATCTATGTAAATGTTTTGAACGCATTTTTTGTCCTTTATTTCAACAGGAAACACAGCGTTTGCTCAGTGAGCCTGGTAACTAATTATTCGAACTTTCCCTTAATTTATTTATATTAAAATTTTGTTCTCAGTTTATTTTAGTTCTTTAGAAGCTCGCGCTAAGTTGAATTGGTAGTACTTGTGTCTTGTTTTAACTTTATTTAGTGTCTTCTAAGATATATTGAATAATATTACCTTAGTAATTTAATTATCTGAATAATGATTCAGGGTCGTGATGTTTCATTCTTTTTGTTTTATTCTGCTGCTGACTTGTTTCTATCAGTTTCTGATATTATGATGATCTGCTGATGCAGCACCTGGAATTAGTGCTTCCCCATCTGAAGACAACATGAGACATTTCAATGTGATGATCCTTGGGCCGACCCAATCGCCTTATGAAGGTAATATTGGGTTTGACAGCATAATTATGCTGCCTTCAAATAATTCAAATATATATTATTTTAAAACTATACTTACTAACAATGTTGGAAAAAAATTCCTTAAGATTTTGGTTTTTTTTTTTTTTTTGGAATTAGGAAGTATCTGTAGAATTCATGTACGCAATTGTGTCATACAGTTTCTGGGAATGACTTTTGCCATGGAAATTCTGTTCTATTACTTTTTATTTCAGTCTAGACTGTTTGTCTAAGTATGTGTTTGGGTAAGTGTTTGCAAAGTTTATTTTTTAGATTATTTTATAAAAATGATTTGGTTGAAATGAATATGAAGTATATGACCCGAAAAGTGAATATAAAATGTAAAATTGATGTTCTCTCTCCCTATTACTCCATGCCCCCAATGTTATTGTTGCTTTCAACATTCATGACCAAACTTGTTTCAGAGTAAAAGTTAGCTAAACATGATTTGAAACATTCAATCATGTACGGTAATGGGTTTTGGTTTGGAAAATGTAAAATCAAAGAAGCTATTATTCTACTTGTGGTCTACTTGCCAAACATAACAAACTATTGGCCTAGTTTTATGGCCTACTTGCCAAGTTAACATACTATTATTCTACTTGTGGTCTACTTGCCAAAGCAAACAAACTATTATTATAGTTGTGGCCTATTTTCCTAGCTATACAGACTACTATTTCTTTATTTATTGGCTATTTGTCAAACCAAACAAACAAACTATTACTGTCTGTGCTACTTACCTAACTAAACAAACCATTACTCTACCTGTGATGTGCATGCAAAAACAAACAAACGTTAACTCTATTTGTTTCTGGTAGTTTTTTTGTGTGTACTGTTTGTGATATGTGTCAGCATGAATTTGAAATTACAAGGTCTCTGACCAGCATGTTGCTTATTACCTTGTGTTTAATCCTCCCCCATCACACAAACACAAGTCTGACTGGTTTAAATGAAATTGAATCCCTCAGGGCAACATATTTTCCTTGTCAATGGCACACCATCATCATGATAAATTTCAAAAATTTCAATAGGGTTCTCTTCTCATGCATACAGAAGCTGCTTTATAATTCATCTTTAATGTAGTAGGGTCATGTGCTTTAGATTAAATAGAAAAGCCAAGTTTTTCTTTAGAACATGTTTTGATAACCAAACTAGATTCAATGCTATTCATGCCTGCAAAATACAGTGTCTTTGTGTATCAATTCAGCTAAACAGATTTTAACTAATTATTAAATAGTTTGATTAACTTGTCTCTTCATAATCTTTGTAGCCAAATTTTTCTTTTAGAACCCCATGCTTGCCTTTGTAGGTTGAAGATTATACAATACTTGGTCAGAAAGGAACACATTAAAAGATGTATAGTAAAGTATAAATACTTATCTTTCGTTCCTCATTGAAAATATATTTTGGATCATGCACTCATACTTGAATGACATGGCTTTATAATTATTAATTCTACTCTTCTGATAGCTTGTATTTTTAAAGTTGCTATCCTAATATGAGGTAGTTTCTGGACCAGTATATTTTGAGCTTCTCCTTAAAAGGAGAAGCTGCACCAAATAGAATTAAGAAAGTGAGCTTTATGAATAGTATATTTTTTAATGAAAAAACTTTTAAAAAGGAAGATATTTGAACAGCTAGTATTAGGATCTGTTTACTTCTACTTTTCCTTTATTTCAAATCCCAAGATTCAAGAACATAAGTTTTAAAAAATTAACTCTTAAGCTTAAAAAGTTATAGACTAAGCAAACAGCTTTTAATTTAAATTAAACTTCTTGTTTTCAACTTTAATTATAAAATAGCTTTTTAACTCCAATGAAGTTAGGCGAGACACGACCTAAAAAAAAAACTGTAAAGAAGAAATTGCAGTATGCAGCTGGTATCATATGTAACTGGAGCATTCATTACCAGTTGGCCGGGTGAGGGTGAGGCATAGAACCCACATTTGTAGTACAGGCACTCCCCACTTACAAGCTGGGTTTTAGGAATGGGTCTCTCCTCTACTTCATAATAACTAGTTCCTCTTATTTCCTCATGGTGATTTGTTTTTAATTTGGAATATTTACTTGCATTCCTTCTGACGTCATTGGCAGAGGTTTCGAAACAATAGAATACCAGTTGAGGAATTGTTTCTGGATGTCTGTATCTCTTTTAATTAGATTTCTTTCTGTGGTTATCTAGCAATAAGTTTTGGAACCTTTGACTATTATGGGTATAATCACTTATTGCTATTTATTCTTGTTCATTCCATGTTATTATGCTTGATTACTTTTTACAATATCTGAACTTTTTATATGTTCCGTACCAAAATAATATAATATAAAAAGGAATGGATAAATTGTAGTTTACCAGTTGAGGATGGGTGGTTTTCTTTGAATTGTGCAGATTCTGATTATGGTTAGCTATATTTGCAACCAATGCTGTCAAGATTGTGATCTAAATTGTAAGCTCACCATCTTACAATCTTGCTACCCTTGACCTAGCTGAGTCACCCATAAGATCATTCCTGGGTAGGATCATAGTGCTACTGAAGTGTGATCTGAGCAGAAGTGTGGAATGCTTCAATTTGCAGATAATGTAATGGGGTCTTCTGGGTAGGGTTGCATAACCTGATTTACCCAAACCAGATTTCTTAACCTAATAACCCATTTTCTAATTACATCTCTGCCCTCTCAACCTCTTTTATTGCTTTAATCAAAATCCTTATCTAAGCCCTGCAGTCTCCAACTTCAGCTTGGGGTTCTGCCTTCCTCCTTTTCTTCTTTCTTTGCAGTTTGCCCAAAACCCTTTCTCTTACTTGCACATTTGTTTTGTTCTCTACCAAGGGATGATTGCCTCTGTTCTGCTGTCATCACCAAACCACAGCCTCTATGTTATAATCTGTTCAGCCAAAACCTCTCTCTCTTTCCTCTTTCTTTCTTTTTTTCTCTTTGCCCCCTAAAACTTGTGTTACATCTGGCCTTTCTTTGATTTATCTTCTCTACTGTCTTTTATTGTATTCTTTGATATCTATGTTATCCTTTGACAACATTGTTTGCAACATTGAAGTAAAGCAGTAGTTTTTTTTTTGTAGATCAGATGTTAGTTACTTCTTTCTTGATCCCGCATTTGGGAATAATGGATGGTTATTGTCTTATTTACTTTTAATATTTCTGATGACAATGATATTTATAATTCCATTATTTTCTTAAATGTTTCCTTCATGCTCTTAATGTTTTATATGTTTTATTACTAGGAGGAGTGTTTAAGTTAGAACTATTTTTGCCAGAAGAATATCCAATGGCTGCTCCAAAGGTACTTACTGTTATTCTTTCCAATTGCTTTATCGTATTCTTTTGGTGTTATGTTTCCACTGAATTATTGTACACCAAAAAGAAACAAAACTAAATTATGATGTTTTAGCTGTATAATTGATTATAGTTTAAGATGTTTAGTTTATTGTGATAAGGTTCATAAGAACGTTGGAAGAACCACACCAAAAAGATAGCCATTGTAGTTGGAGAGCCCACAAAACTCCACTCTAGAATAAACTTTAATTTTGAAACTCAATTCCCATACCTTGTAATAGCACCTAACATCCGTCATGCTCCATAGTCAAGTGCAGATGTGGGCTGGCTATGCTCTAAGCTGGCATCAACACCTATGCCACTTGTTTGCTGTTGAGAAACATTGTGGAAAGTTTTGATACCGTTTGATAAGAACCATGAGACCATACCACAAAAGCCAACCATTGTAGTTAGAGACTTATAAAACCCCGCACTAGAATCCCATAGTTCCAAGTTGGGACTAAACTCCTAAACCTTGCAATTGTTTAACACACTGTATTTTTAGGTTTGGTATTTGTGATCTAATAGGATAGGATTTATATGCATGTTAAAGAACAGACTTGTGTTATATTCTGTCTTTTTTTTCCGTTACACCTTCCCTTATTGACACTGGAACTTACATTCATTAATAACATAATGTCCTTTTATTTGCTTTAAATTGAAATATTTCCTCTTTAAGTTTTGGTGTCATATTTTTGAGTTTTCCTTTATGGTATGAGGTACTGTTGTAAGTTTCACGATGTTGCTTGGTGGTTCTCTTGAGTGTCTTTTCGTTTCCTTTCAGGAATCTGAAAGCATGTGTGGTTGTCCAATGTCCTCTTATTTTATTGCTTTTGATACCTTTTCAATGGTTTTAAATGTGCATTGCTTTTCTCAGGTTCGGTTTCTAACAAAAATATATCATCCAAACATTGATAAGGTGCATTTTGATTTCCCTAAATTCTCATTTCCTTTCCAGTAATTATTTTTCTTAAAAGTTCTTGTTTAATTTAGCTTGGCAGAATTTGTCTTGACATTCTGAAAGATAAGTGGAGTCCTGCTCTTCAGATTCGTACTGTTCTATTAAGGTATTGTTATCTTTTAGGCTATTAGATGGTGTAGCTTTATTCTTGGAACATTTTATCCTGAAGTGGGACAGGCCTAATATTAGTTGGTGTTTCATAAATATAATTTTTTTCCCAAAACATGTTATCATACATATATAGAAAAATACTGATATGAATACTAATTTGCAAGCCTGGAAAACACAATGTTCAATTATATTAAATCACTTTGTTGTATGGAAGAATAATTTTCATTTTTATTCGGAAAACTTTTCATGTCAAAAATAAAATTGTTGTTTGTCCCCTTCATACTTTTCACTCATTCTTTGCATCTGAGAATGTTTTCTATTTATATTTTACATTCTGTTTTCAAAAGTTTTTCTAAAAACCATAAAAAGCAACTTCTATTTTTTTTTTTCATTTTCTTTTGGATGAAAAATGTTTTGGAAAATGGAAATAGAAAATGTTGTGGGGTGCTTGACTCTTGTCATGGCCAACTAGAAAGCCACACAGCAAGGGAAATGTTGTGGGGCAAGTTAATAGAAACTATTTGATTAATCTGTTATCACATGGAAAGAGTAATATGTACTGATAATATGAAAGTGTGGGCATTTTCTAGCATTCAAGCTCTATTGAGTGCACCAAACCCAGATGATCCACTTTCTGAGAACATTGCCAAACACTGGAAATCTAATGAGGTCGAGGCTGTTGAAACAGGTATATTTTTTGTCTGATTTATAAAAAATTAGTTGATAATGATGGCATCAATCAATACTACTTGCATATTCTCATTAAAATGCTGCCTTGAACTCTGCAGCGAAGGAATGGACCCGATTATATGCTAGTGGCGCGTGATGATTAGGTTCAAACTTATGGCTCCAAAATAACTGTTGTAACCATCATTTTATACTGGAAATCTAAAGGAATTGATGTATGAATTATTGGAGTTAATATCCCTCGTAGCTTCCAGTTAGTTACTTGTTAATTTCTTCTACTGGAAGCTGCCTATCTTAAAACTTGTATGAATAGATGTGTTTATCTTTTACCTTTCTAACAATTTAGAACGTGCTTCAATCATCCTGTGAAGGAGTTTGTTATTCTCAACATCAAAGGCCAAACTTAGCGAATTGGTTTCTGTTCTCTTTATCTCAATGAACCATACCAAGATTGGTTAAGTTGGTAACCAATAGAATTGGTTCTGAAGTCCAGCCATTTGTGTGCGAGTTTAAATAATTATCTCCAGTGGCCAGGGAGTCTGAATTTTGAGGTGAGGATCTGAACTCTGGAAACTAGTAATCTGGGCCAGTGGTCAAATCTTATTGAAGGGAACGTCTTAAACTGAATTTTCCAAAGTTTCTTGCAAAATCATTCTGGTATGATGTATTTGTAACAATAACATTAGGGAGGCACATTTGGGTTGATATTGAATGACACGTTGCAGTTTGATAATTGTGTCTATTAAGTATATCATCACAAGTATGTATTAAAAAATGTTACGTGGTGTCAGATCATAAATCCGAGTACTTTGAAATGTTAGTTATTGTTTTCGGCCTAGAGATGTTCTAGGTTTACAAAAGTAAAGAAAAAGATTTTGGGTTGATATTAGTCACATGGACAAAGCTGCCTATGGATTTCTTGATTATGTAAGTGGAAAAGACTTTGTCAGGAGAGATGAAGAGATGTAATTCATTTTACTGATCTTTTGCTTGAAAGAAATGTGGATGGGCTAATGTCAAGTTGATAAAATTTCGTAAATAAGCATATGGTTTAGCCACTTTCTTTCTCTTTGCACCTTTGTAAAATAACTAAAATATCTTGTTAATAATTTTTGTTTCAGACTCTATGAGTTTCTTCTATTTTCCTATGTAACTTTTGCATTTCTACTGCGTATCTTTTACATCTTTATTATATGCATCTGTATTAAAATTGTACCTTGGCACCTAAATTGCTCGATGTGGATCCATTTTTTGAAAATAAAATTTAGCTTTGGAACATTCAATTTGTAATTTATTTTCATATTGACTTTTTTCATAAATGTATTTTAAAAAAGTCAATTCGGAACAAGATTTCTTAGACAGATTTTCCACTGAAAGGCAAATTTGAAATACATTTCTAAAATTGTTTTTTTGGAAATGGATTGAAATGTTTGTAATATATCTTCATAATGTTTAATCTATAAGAGTATTTCTAAAGAAATTTTTTAACAAAGAGTTGTTTATAAATAAAATTAAATATTTTATTACGAAGTTTCACATCTTTAAAAGGAGTTTTTAACTAGAGTTGCTTAAAAATAAAATTCAATATTTTATTATGGATTTTATATTTGACTTGCTTAAAACTTGGTTAGAGGTTCTTATATAAATAATTTTTTTTTCAATTTTAAGTAACTTTTTTCATCTTTAAGCAACTTAGATATGAGACCTACAAAGGAGTTGTTACTAAGAGTTGCTTAAAAATAGAAGTTGGGTTGTTACGAAGAGTTGCTTAAAAAATAAAAGTGAATATTTGAGTTGCTTAAAAATAAAAGTGGGGTTGTTACGAAGAGTTGCTTAAAAATAAAAGTGAATATTTTATTACAGGTCTCATATTTGAATTGCTTAAAAGTAGAGAAAGTTACTTACAATTAGGGATAAAAGGCTTAAAAGTAGAGAAAGTTACTTACAATTAGGGATAAAAGGCGGGGCAGGGTGGGTTAGTCCGCTATAGTCATGGCGAGTACAGGTCTCGGTCTATCCCGCCAAAGGGCCGAGTTGGCGAGCTGATTCAGTCATATTTCTTAATTTATTTTATTTTATTATTTTTAAATCAAATCTTTCAATAAATTTAATAATAAAATTATCATTGTCAACAATTCAATATATATATTTCAAGTTAATAATATAAATTTATATATTATTTCAATAAGTTATATTTTAGAATAATTAAATTAAGATAAAATTTATATAATAATAAATACATGTATGTAATTGTAAAAATTTATTAAATTTTTATTTTTTATATTAAAAAGTATGAGTAAGTATGAGATGATGAGTAAGAGGAGAGAAGAGAGAGGGGTTTGTGTTTTAGAAAGAAAAGTGTTTCTTGTAACGTGAGTTTAAGTAATTATAAAACTTTTTTAATTCTCTTAGTAATGAGATATTGAGACTTTATTAATTCTTTTATGAGATCGTGAGACTTTTAGAATTCTCTTTTCATAAATTTTTATATTATATATTATCTTTTTGACTTTTTATTTATTATATTACAATAACAAAAATTATTAGTAAAGCGGGTGGGCTCGTCTAGCCCCACGGGTTGGCGGGCTTGGCGGGACAGACCAAAACGGCTGACGGGCTGAAAGTACTAACCCGTCCCGTCGGACCTGACCCGTTTTGTCATCCCTACTCAAAATTGAAAAAAAATTGCTTATACAAGTGTATTTCAAACTCAAGGGATGTGTTTCTGAAAAATCAATTCTAAAAATGAATTTCGGATCCCCTTTCCATAATGTATTTCTGAAAAATCGATTTCAAAAATATATTCTCAAAACGTGTTTCCAATAAAAAAAACGTGTTATGCTATATATTGTATGTGAAAATAAAAATTGATATAAATTAAAAATAGTTTGAAATTCTTATATGTTTGTAGTAATTTTTGAGAGGAAGGAAGAATGAAAATGTTTTAAGATTTAAAAATCAAACATTCAAAGATGTAAAAATCAGAAATAAATATATAAGAAGATGAACCTAAGTATAAAAATAAAATATGATTTATTTTAATTATGGGGCAGGAAGAAAGTATTTTTTTATTTTCAATTTTTGTAAAATTTACCTACAGTGAAGTACATTAAAAAAAACTATCATGTACATTAGGTGGAAAAAATAACAATAGTATTTTTTTATTTTTTTTACTTAGAAATCTTATAGTTCATGATTACATGTTTAGTGCTATCTATCATCTAATGTTTTGCGTGCTCAGGTAGGTAAATCACAGGTAACCTCTATCGAATGTTAGTTTTGCGTGTTGAGGTGTTCAGGTAGGTAGGTAAATCACAGGTAACCTCTATTGCATCCTGCATAGAAACCATTAAATTGAACTGATCCAAACCATTAAGTTGAACTATGTTCCAAAGGCTGAGAAAAGTTGTGTAAATATCCACGATAGAACACGAAAGCTTAGATCATATAAGGTACTGCCTTGACTTCTCTGATTATTTACGTTGTAATGTGTTAACTTATTACGCAGGTAAATATTGTATTTTTGTGTTATGTGCTTAGTACAATTTAATACTGCTAATCTGCTACTCTGTAAAATGTTTAGGTTCTTTTAGCATAGAACAAAACTCCATAAAATCTTTAAGTTCTCCTAGCATAAAAGAAAATGTCAAGGAAATGAGGTTTATTTTTTAAAATAAGTTATGCCCTGAGTAAAAATTAAGAAATATTTGTCAAAATCGAGACGAAAATTTGCACCTATCACCAATTCTGTTCTCGGGCAAGATCAGAAAAACAGCGTTGCGTTTCGGAAGTGTTTACTGAAAATGAAATTATTTAGATTTTTCATGGTAATTATAATGATAATAATTTTGGTGCATTAGTTCTTGAAACGCCTTCTATTTTGTTTTATTTCTTAAACTGCAGACTTCAAAGAAATGGAATGTTTTACCCGTATATAAATGGTATCTACATCATATTGATAGATGGTGTCTAGGTCTGTTTACAAAATTTGCTTCTTCTTTTTTTCTAAATGATAAAAAAAAACGAGTGCCCCCATTTGAAAGATGCTTGCGCTTTCTTTCATGTCTTCTTCCCTTTTTCCGTTCAAGAGAAGTTTTGATAACCCTTCAACAGATATGCATATAGGATTTCATTCCATGCATCTGGAACTCCAGGTAGGCACCAGTGAATGCAATCTGCAAAATCTTTTGGGTTGGCTCTCTGTTCTTTTGTCAATAGCTTGCCCTTTCTCTCCCCATAAACTGATGTGTGAGCATCTTTTCTATACTCTGATAATTGGGTGATGTTCAAAAGGGTCACATCTATTTTCAACACTTGCAGTCCATCATGTATTATCTTCATAATTTCAAGATTTGAGCCCGTACCCCAGTATGGACCTTGGATTGGGTATGACTCATTGAAGCAGTTTTCATTGCTTCCAGGCTTCCATTCCCAGCTCCTGAAAATCAGTTATGATTTTTGTTCATTTTTGCATTCCAAATCATTCAGGGGTTTGAGAATACCAATGTGTTTAATTTCTATTTACAAAATTAGGATTACAAAAAGAGAAGAATGACTCAACATTTTCAACTGTTTCTGATCTTTTGGTTTTTACTGCCTGAATTTATTTTAGAAAATAAAATTTGGAGCCAAAAAAAGTGAGAAAGAAAATTACACATGTAATGTGTCTCATTTTTATTTTTATTTTCACAAATGATTATAAAAATATTACATTATTTTGATTTTTCTTCACATATTCGTATAGTAACATAGAAAATATTATTTTTATCATCACTATTTTCCAGACAGATCTTTAACAAGAAATTAAAACGGCTGATAAAAAATGGATAGTTTTAAATCACTTATGAAGACAATGCATCTTCTTAAACTTATAACGCAAATAACAGACTTTCTCCATTGTTAAGGATCATAAATTAACTTGTTTTTGTGAACCTTATAATTTACATTAGATTTTAGAACTTCAGTCAATTCTCACTGTATTGTTGTTGCACTTAACAGAGTTCATAACATACTTTTCTTAGATTTAAGAACCTTTAAGAATCGAGTTAATCAATCTCCCTGGATGTGCAATAAAGTACTAAGCTCTACATCATATCATGGAAGAATAAAAAATGTTAAATCCAAACTGCTCAAAATTTA